GGTTTTGGAGCCATGACCCCACATGTTTCGATCTTCTTCCTTCTCCTCTTTCAACCGGAGCATTAGGGCTTGCAAGATCGGATTGCGATCGTTGTTCGCATACGACGACATTGATTATGTTACCATATCTGTGTTCCCCACTCTTACAGCTGGAGGTGATGTGTATTCATCTCCAATTGGTCAGATTGATTCGCTGTTTTCTAAATTGTTCCGCATCTTGTTACGAACTCTTCCAGTATTTAATCTAGGGTGCCTTTGTTTCGTGAAAAATTTCTCCTTTTTTTACTGTTTGGTGACGTGCCTCGAAATAAGAAGGAAGCATTTGTCGGATATTAGGTACGGTTTATTGAGAAGATATTTCCCGTTGTACACAAAGAGTTGTATGTGTTTTCTAGTGAAATTATGTTGTAGGTCTTCAAAAGCTACAAGAGAGACAGGAAGAGCTGCAGCTCCTGTCCTCGGCCAGATTGAAGTTTTGCATAGTATCTCCTCATAAGGAAACCGCTTTCCTTTTTAGGCTCCGTTTATTTCGTGAAAATTTAAAATTTCAAAAAAAAGAATTTCAAAAAAATGTCAATATTTTTAGGTGTTTGATTGAAATCTGAAAATAAATTAGAAATTATTTCTTTCGTTTAGAAAGGAAAAATTGATTTTATTTTTCTTGAGAGACATACAGTATTCGTGTGATATAAGAGATACCCAACTATTGAGATCCCGGTTGCACGAGTGGGGGTTTCTCTTCCCAACCACTAGCAATTTGAGCCAGGCATTGGGGACCCGTGCTTGGCCTTGATGAACTCAAGTCTGGGTGCCGATGACTTGGGTGTAGGAGTCGGATACCCAAGCATGGTCGCTAGAGACCTAGGCACAGACACAAGAGTCTTGGGTTTGGCCTTAAGGGACCTGGGCCTAGCCTTTGTGGACTGGGGCTTGGTCATCGAGGAACAGAGCTTGCGCTAATGACTAGGGCATGGGAGCAAGGTACTCAGGCACAAGTATTGTGGTCTTGAGCATGGCCGATGGGGCCTTCGGCATAGGCAATGGAGACCCGAGCCTGACCTCTGTGGACCCAACCATGGGCGATGGTGCCTACACAAGAGCTGAATACCTGGGATAGCCATTGAGGACCCTAGCACGGACATTGAGGACTTGGCCAAGCCTTAGTGGACTCGGGTTCGGGTGATGTTGACTTGGGCGCGAGAGCCAATGGCCTGGCCATGTTGTCGCACGGGCAGTGGGGTCTCGAGCATGAGGACCCTAGCACGGACATTGAGGACTTGGCCAAGCCTTAGTGGACTCGGGTCCGGGTGATGTTGACTTGGGCGCGAGAGCCAATGGCCTGGCCATGTTGTCGCACGGGCATTGGGGTCTCGAGCATGGCCTTTGTGGACAGGGCTCAACCTCTATGAACCTAGCTTCAAGCACCAATGACTTGGGCAAGAGAGCCAAGTAATCAGGCGTGGCCACCGAAGGCTTGGTTAGGGCACTAGGGTCTCAAGCTTGGCTTCTATGGACCCAGGCTCGAGCGCCGGTGATTTGAGTGGAATAGTTGGGTACTCGAGCATTGTCATCGCGACCCGGACACGGGCACTAGAGTCCTGAGCTTGGACTCTGTGGACTTGGGCCCTGGCCTTCATAGACCAAGGTGCCAAACTAGGGTCCTAAGCCTAGGCACTATTGACTGGTGCGAGAGCTGCTTGGCCATCGAGGACCTAGGTACAATCACTGTGGTCTCGGGCCAGGCCTCCATGGACCCCTGCTAGCCTCGATTGACCCAGGTCTGGGCGGTAGTGACTTAGTCATTGGAGCTAGTTACTTGGGCAGAGCGTCGAGGACCCGGGCATGGGTATCAAGGTCTCGAGCGAGGACTATGCAAACTTGGGCCTAGCCTTGATGGACCTGGGCTTGGGTGCCGAAACTGTGGTCCTCAGCCTAGCCTGTATGAACTCGGGCCTAAGTGCCACTAACTTGGGCGTGTGATCGAGGTATTCGAACATGGTTGTTGGGGACCTAAGCACCCGGCACATGGGTCTTGGGCCTAGCCTCCGTGGACCCAGGCCCAACCTTAATGGACCTGGGGCTAGGCGTTGGTCGCATGGGCGTAGGAGCCAAGTACCCGGAGTCTTGGGCATAGCCTTAAGGAATCTGGGTCCAGCCTTTATGGACCCAGGCTTGGCTGTTGAGGAATCGGTTCCAAACTCTATGGACTCAAGAGTCGAGTACCCGAGTTTGGCGGCTAGGGATTGGGCACCGATTTTGGGGTTTTGCGCATGGCCATTAAGGACTCAGGAACAAGCAACAGTGTCTCGGGCCTTGCTTCGTGGGCTCAAGCCAAGGCATCGGTGACTTGGTGAAGGAGGCGTGTCACCGGGCATGGGCACCAAGGTCTTGTGCCCAACATCAAAGGACCAAGGCCTAGCCTTTGTGGACCCGTGCCCGGACACTGAGGAACATGGCTTGGCCTTGATGGGCCTAGGCCCAGGCACCAATGACTTCAGCGCAAGAGCTGAGTACTTGGGCATGGGGACCAATGTCTCAGGCCTGGTCTCTATGGACTTGGGTTCGACCTCTAGACTTGAGCTTGCTATCGAGGACCTTGACAAGGGTGTCGTCATTGCCATCCACAAGCGCCGAAGTCTTTAATTCAATTGTCAATATTTAGCATATTTTGGAAAATAATTTCCGATTTTCAAAAGAAAAAAATTATTTTTCCTAATTCAAGCATGAGTCTTCCGATTATTATGAAAAGATTTTCCGTTAACTCGTTTTCTTAAGCGATCTAAACGCCGAAAAAAGAGGAAATATTTTTCGAGAGAACTTTTTTTCGTGAAAGAGAGCCTTAGAAAGTGAATTTCCACTTTTTATGATGTGGGGGATTCTCTTGACCAAAAATAGTTCAAGTTGACCATTCATTTTCCATGTACCAAACACCAAAAATCTACGAAAACCCTTTTTCCGGAAAATCCGATCTACTTTGCTATCATTACTTTTAGCGTGGAGTGTCAAGCCTATTCTCTAAAAGATTAAGATGTTTAATCGAAGAAATTTGGAGAATGTGAGTGGGGCTCTTGTTTTTACTTGAAGTTTATGCTCGAACTTGAAAAGACAATCTCAAGAGACGTGATGAGCCCCATTATAGTCAAAACCTACTTTTAATTAGCAAGATCCTGACTAAATCAGCTTCCTAGAAGTCAAAAGGTAATCTATCAAAATCTTTAGACAATCTTGACCACTTTTCGGATTTCAGAATCTCACTCCTGCTCTCTCAGTAAAAAGAAAAATAACACTAATAGTATCTAAACTTTAGTTTAATATGTAATATTTATTCAATATGATTCTTGAATTATTACTAAATGTTCAATATAGTCCATTTCGTCAGTTCGAGTTAACATAATTTGCTAACACACTGTTCAATTTGTTAAGTTTTAAGAATAGACGATGAAAATAAAAATCTGCTAATTCAAAAGAACATGGATAAAAGAAATTGAATTCATTGTCACATACATATTCCTGTAGCGTATTGACCCATCATTTCAATAGTCCAACTCGGCATTGAGTATCCTATTATGTCATCAAATCAAACAAAACGATTACATCAAATTTTTAAGGAATAGTTCAAGAACTACGTCGAATGAACTAAAAGTTTTAACATGACATTATGAGTCGGGGCGAAATTCAGGAACGATCGCCCTGACGAAATAATGCATTCAATCATTCGATCCACGAAACAAAAAAGCTAACTATTTAGGATTCTTTTTGCGCACACGAAAAAGGAGAGTTTTTTTTTCTTTGGTCGAAACGAAAAGGAACCAAAGAAAAAAGTTGACATGACAAAAAGTTGTTCTTGTATCGAAACCCTTTCGTGAGCTGTACCCAGAGAAAGGAGATGCTGCAGACCCCTTGTGAAAGGCGCAGAAGAGAGAAAGGAAAAGAGAAAGGATTCGATTTCGACATGCAACAAACTCCCAGCATCATTCCCTTAGCTGGATCTTACCACATTTATTCCTCCCTTCCAACGACCCATGCCCCCTCTCCATTTAATACCTTATAGCCCCCCCTTCCCCTCCTTTGCATTATACTGTGGTGTTTGTTCATGAGCTGCTTTTATATTCACCAAGAAGCAGCAGCAGCAGCGGCAGCAACTTTGCACCTCCTGCTGCTCTGGATGATGTACTTTGCTCGCTTTATTACACGGGGGGTCGTACGGTGGGGCGTTTGACATTTCGTTTTCATGTTTGAACCGACTGCAATTAAAAGAGTACACACCTGTTGCTCGGATTGACTCGGTCTGGACCCTATCTATACACATACGACCAAGTACACAGGTATACACGTCCGCAGAATTGATTACTTTCTCTCCCTGTCTTTCGAAAAGGTAAGGGCATACAAATGGAATGCGTCAAGTCTGATTTGAGATGAATGAAATGCTAGTAAAAAAAAAAAACACGAGGCCCGAAAACCCGGATCATCCCTAGTTTTCTCGGGCTCAAGTAGTGCCCGAAAACCCGGTCCGGCCCTACTTCTGAGTTCGATCATAGACAGATAAGGCGCGAGTCAAATATAAACCCAAATTGGGCTACATGTAAACTGTCGAAATGGGAAAATTTTGGTCAATGGCAAAAGCAAGAGACGGGAAGGAAAGTGATTGCGCACGGATCGATCGGCAGCAATCTGAGGACCATGACAGCAATTGGATAATCATAAGGAAATCAGAACCGGATAAGCGCTAAGTAATCATCACGAAATCGACCCAGAGGGGCATAAAAGAGGGAGCGAATCATCCTGGAATGATGCCGTGATTACGCCACCAGCGGGAGGGCATTCTCGGAACCCGACCGGGACAGCTCCCTCGGAGCAGTCCCTGTGGTCCGTCCCTCCCTTTAGAAACGCCCTTCAAAAAGATCTCTCCTTTGACCGTCGTACTCTCTCTCCTCTCTCCTCTCTCCCTCTCTCTCTCTCTCTCTCCAAAAAGAAAGAAAGGACCTTTTTTTAAAGATGTCGCAAGCATGAATGCGAAAATCAATTAATGGGAATCGTATCGCCTCTCTCCTCTCGCACGACCCTTTTTAGCCGCGGTTGCTGCAGAGAGACATACAGGAGTCGAGCCTCGCTCTCTCTGTTTCTCTCTCTCTCAACCTTTTTGATCTCTGTCATCATCGTCATCATCGAGATTTTGCTAAAGCTTTCCCCTCCCCTTTGCCTCAGATTCAGATATATATATAATTTCCTCGGTGCAGAGCGAAAAGGGTGTGCCCATCATCTTCTAGTTTTCTTTTGCTGCTGCTCCTCTCGTCAAACTCGCACTCCCTCTGATGCATTGAATACTTCGCCGCCCATTAATCTCTCTCGCGCGCGCGCGCGGGGGCGAGCGCGCGAAGGGACCGACCTCCTCGAGGATCGATCGACCCGTCGTGGCGGCGGCGGCGGCGGCGGCGGTTCCCCTTCGCGTCGTCCCCGCGATCCGACGGCCCAGATCTTCTCGTCTGTGATCGTACGGCCGGGGATCCTCTGTCAGCCCGTCCCTTCTCCCTCTCTCTCTTTCTCTATCTTATCTCTACGTAAGTCTTGCCTCAGTATCTCTCTACCTACTTCCCCTTTTGGGTCATCGTTTTTATGGACCCTCTTCGTGTTTTTCCGTTTTTTGCCTCTCTCTCTTTCTCTAGTGCTGTGCTGTGTTGCGTTGTCGTTGTCGTTGTTCTATGTTCTCGCAACTTTCGTTTTTATTTTTTTTTCTCGAATCACCGAGTGAAAGACACGCAGATACTAAAATCTTCTGGCATCTCTGTTCATTTCTTTCCCTCGTTATTGCTTCTCTATTAAGCTTAATCCTCCACGTGTTTCAGTTTTTTACCTTTTCCCACTCGAAAAGGTCATCTCTTTCGTGTGCATGTTGATACCCATTGCTCTCCTCTTCTTTTCTGATTCTTGTGGATTATTCTCGCTCGGAGTTATTGTATAAGTGAGAGTGTGGCCGGCCAATTCGCATGTATATGTTGTTTTTGGTCTTTAAGGAATACCTGTAGATCCCAATTATCAAAGGTGTTCCATATTCTTTTCTGGTAATGGTAAACCATTTCAAAGTAATTTTCTCATTTCGAAATGGTTGGTGGTGTTTGGTAGTTGCACAGCGGGTAGATGCCTTTCCAGGTTTTATCTTGAAGGGATGAATTGTACGAAAAGCATCCCTTTTTTATGGGACTGTGATTCCTATGTATTAGCCCAAGTGAAAAAAAAAATTTCTTGGTTAATCGAAAGATAAATGAATAAGCAAATAACTGGTGAAATTCCGGTGTATCTCAATTTTCGGAAATCAGATTATAGAATGCCAACTTTTTTTTTTAAGTGAAATTGGTTCTGTTTTTGTATTTACTAGTCAATATTGATATGCATTTCAATTTATTAGTTTTTTTTCACTTGAAGGATAAAGACACGACATATTGAAGTTGTAGCGAATATAGCAAATGCTTCCCAGAATTTATGCTTTTAAAGGTTTTGAGATGAGATGTTCAGCATATACTTCTTAACTTGCTGAAACTTAGATAGATACAAAATGCAAAGTCTGGGTCAAGCAAGCAAGGTACAATTGCTTTGTTGGAAAGTTGAGGACCTTTTTTTAATGGTATTGTGGTTACTTGTAGCTATAGCAGCACATAGAATGCTTCAATGTCGGGAACTTTATTTCAATGGGTACTCATATCATTGGAGTGATGCTGAATGTCAGTGTAGTATCTGGGGCAACCTGTAGGGGTCCATAACAGTTTGTGGAATGAGCTGGATTCAAAGATCAGACATCCCATGTTCTTTATTACCTGCAGATGTTTTTTTGGGGCGGAGATGCTCTGGAAAGATTACCACATATTGGGATGAGTACTTGATGGAACTAAGAATTGTAATCTGCATGTTGCAGTACATTCCTCAAAGGCTGAAAGTCACTACTTTTATCGACTATCAAAAAAAAAAGTCACTACTTTTATCTTGTGTTGGGAAAACCTTAGAAGTGATAGTTTTTGCTATGCCTTTTATTTTTTCTGGGGTAAGAGAGAGAAGGGGGGAGGGGGGGCGCACGGTGGTCAGCTTTTTGCGTGTTAAGATGGTGTCAGGACTAATTTAAGCATAGACTGATTTTTTACTACAGGCAGATGTTAATATGATGCATGCTTTTGTTTCTTCTGGACAGCACTAATTTTTAAGGATGTTACATTTGCTATAATTGGCTCTAATTAGTTGTTGGGAGAACAGTGTTCTTTTTTCTTTACTTTAATTTAATTACCAAGCTTTTCTTGTGTGGTTTTTTTAGTAGTTTGTTATGATCTTTATTCTCTTGGAACTAGCAGTTTCTTATCTGATTTTATTTTTAAAGGACGTCATGTTTTTATCATCTTCCATGATTTGCAGTTACTAAGTTGTGTCTTATGAGCTATGGAGCCTCATGATCATAGAAGACAAAAGAGACAGAATAATCTTTTGCATGCAAATGGCGAAGGCAATGCGACCACTGTTGATGAATTAGATCCTTGGACTGCGTGGGCGTACAAGCCACGGACCATATCCCTCTTACTAATTGGAGCATGTTTTTTGATGTAAGGATATGCTGATTGGCAACCATAGTTCAGATGATATGCAAGCTTACGTTAAGATTTTTGCGTATAGCAAACATTGAAGGACAGACTCTCTTCATCTATCCTCTGATGTGTTTCTGTTTTTTATTAATGTTGAAGTGAATGTTAACTATGGCCAAAAAAGAAAAACAAGTGGGTGATATCTGCAATCTGTTTCTTTTGTCCTCATGGTGGCATTGTCAGACCTGATTAATTTCTAAGCTGTGCATAACTTCACCTATCTTATGAACTGGAAGAAAGATTTGACGGTCTTTCTTTAACTCACAGGACCATATGATATATTGACCTTTCTTGAGCAAGTGGAATTTGCTACTGAAAGTTTAGTGATGTAAATTAAACTATAATTGAGCTGTTGGTTAATTTCCAAAATTCAAATATCTTCTGTCCAGATGGGCAAGTGGAGCTCTTGATCCAGAAGGCAGTGAATCTGGTGATCTTGTTACATCCGTGAAAAGGTGCGTTATCATGTTTTACCTCGAATGCTTCATGTTGCATTTCATGTACTTCGCCCATCAAGAATTACCTTTTTGATGCCCTTACTTTGGTTGTTTCTTGCAGGGGTGTGTGGGCCATGATTGCAGTGTTTCTAGCTTATTGCTTGCTGCAAGCCCCTTCCACGTAAGTCTGTATGTTATTAACTTGCATCTAACCATCGGTTTGTCTTTCTCCTTTCGTGCACATACTTTGCTTACAGGTGTAGCAAATTAGTCTATGTTGAATATCCTGACATCTGGAGAATGAAAGAGATCAAAACCTTATGTTATTCTCTTATTTAAAACTGAAATGGAGGGACTAAAAAGAATGAATGAGGGAATGGACAAGAATGGAAGGAGGAAGTAGATAGAGTACTAACTACAATTCCTTTGTATGGTTGTGATTGTGAGGCTGTAGATCGCCACATTGCTTAAATGGTTGCATGTCGACTTGTTGATTAAATGCAGTAATATCAGCGAATTCTGTATTTCCATTAATTTAAAATAGAGAAGGGGATTGTGTGATGGCATGATGAGGGGATGCGTGACGGCATGATCATTCTTGCAAAGTCGGCCATCTCCACTTAGTGGGATTAGCAATTTTTAGTTGTTCTTGTATTTACCCTTGCAAACCGTCTGTTGTTACACCTCATGCAATGAGCTTAGGGAATTTTGATATGTAACATATCCAGATTATAGTGATATTGTGAAATTTTTTTGAATGACGGTTTTAAAAATGGAGAATGGAATTGTGTGATAGTCATGACTTATGATAATTGTTAATGCCTTTGGTTTACCAGTATTAGTTTGGTTTCTAGCACATTCTGATCTTCTAATGGCTTATGGTCAGATTAAGTTACTTTTGTTCTTCTAATTTTCAATTTCTGTTTATTGTTTTATCCAACTTTCTCTTTCTGCTGCAATATTTGGGGTCTGTCTAACTTTCACCTATCTGCTGCATTATGCAGGGTTCTTATTAGGCCTCATCCTGCAATCTGGCGCCTAGTCCATGGGATGGCTGTTATTTACCTTGTTGTGCTCACATTCTTGCTTTTTCAGGTTGGTTCCCGTGTAGCCAGCCATTCTCATAACTACTCTCTCTGGACAAGGCTGCCTTCGTTTTTTTCTCTCATGTTTTTTTTTCCGTTTCTTCTGGCTAAGTCTCCCTTGTTCTTTTTTTTTTTTTTTTCCTTCTGGTTCACGGAGTGTTATTCTTTATTTTGTTTTGGGGGAGGGGGATGGGGATTTGTGATTTTATTCATTGAGACAAATATTTAGGAAAACTTTAAGGATCTTCAACTCGTCCCAATCAAGTGTTCTGCTGAAATATCCACTTCAGCTGATGATTGTCTGAATACACTTTCTCAATTTTCGATAAACTTTTTAATGTTATGTCTGACATTCTGACTAGGATATACATGCTTGGTACTCTGAAGTTTTAAAAGACCTTGTTTGCTACTTATCTCTGCCTTAACCAATGGTGTTTAACTGACATCATATTGCAATATGTTCCAGAAGCGTGATGATGCTCGACAATTCATGAAGTTTCTCCATCCTGATCTGGGTGTCGGTAAAGATTCCATTTAGACCTACTTTCATGATGCATTAGTTGTTGGGCATTTTGAGTGTTCCTGTGTTGATGCAGTATAGTATGAAAAATTCAGTTTCTTATGTTAATATGGTTAGTTGGATTTGGGACCAAGTGAAATCTGTTCGACTTTGCAGAACTTCCTGAACGATCATATGGAGCTGACTGCAGGATTTATCTGCCAGAAAATCCTACGAGCAGGTTTAAGAATGTTTATGTATGATTTCTTCCTGAATGGTCGTTTTATCTTCCCTTGCTTTAAGTCTCATCTTATGGAAAGTCTATCTGATTGTTTTCCTTAATGCCATTCCCTTTCCAGGATACACTGTTTGACGAATTTGTGCTTGCCCACATCTTTGGCTGGTGGGGAAAAGCGATATTGATTCGTAATCAGCCACTTCTGTGGGTGCTTTCAGTTGGATTTGAGTTCATGGAGGTTTGTGCTTTTGGCCTTATGTGTATGCTTATGTGCATGTAAGCATGTGGATGAACCCTCTTGTGTTTGTCTACAGTTGTGGAATGTTTCCTGTTCAACTTATAGTGGGACCTTTGTTTTCCTCAATTAAGTTGCTTTGCTCTTTGGTTTCAGCTCACATTTCGTCACATGTTACCGAACTTCAATGAGTGCTGGTGGGACAGCATTATTCTGGATATATTAATATGCAACTGGTTTGGTCTGTTTTTTCCTTCCCTTTCTTAGGTTTTCTTTTAATTTTCTCCATTGGATCATTATAGTTTAATTATTACTTTATTTATGCATGTCATGATGTATAAATTGGTCTTGTAAAAACGGTTATACCTATTTTCTTGATTTTATCTGATAGGATTTGTCTGTTTGGATAATTTGTTGAGCTTTGTCACAAATGTACAGGCTTTTTTGTATGATTGTGTAGCTCCTGTATCATTTGTGTTACAGAGACTGTCATTGCCTTGCTGCATGAACCTAACATGCTTCATGAATTATATCGGTCAAATTGCTAATGGGTCTATGGCGATGTCATGTCTTGACTTTGTCGCAATTGACAGATTAACCGGGCAAAAGAGCTGTTTGATTCTTAGTTAAGCATTTGGTGACTAGTTTTCCGTTTCAACTTTCAGGTATTTGGGCCGGAATGCATACTGTCAGGTATTTTGATGGGAAAACATATGAATGGGTTGGTATAAGTCGACAGCCTAATGTCATAGGGAAGGTATGGTCCTGAACTCGACAGTGTAATTTACAGCTTGGGCATTGTAATTTTTTTCTCATTTTTGTAAATCGATATTGACTATCATTTTGCAATTCAAGGATAAAAGTGATAAGCATGATAAAAGGACGCATCTCAAGATTTTTTACATTGGATTTTGCAGTTCCATAAATGAAACTTTTCTTCATGCAATCCACGTATATATTATATGCATGTCGATGCGTGTGTGTGTAGGTGTGTGTGCGCGCGTGCAACCCTCACAAGTGAGAGGGAGGGAGGGACGGTTCTGTGAGTGGATTACTCATGTGGCTTCATTTTCCATTCGATTTTTCTTTGGTAAAGTAGTTTACTTTTGACTCCCAAGTCTAAGGAAGGAAAGTTAGCATTATTTTTAAAATCAGCTACACTTCCAAACTTAATGTCTCCAAAATCAAAACCCATGAAAATAACTGAAAACAAAATAAGCACGACTCAGTTTCATCCATAGTAAGCAGTGTATCACATGGCATCTGGTTGCTTGTTTCTTTTGGAGGAAGTGCTCTTGTGCTCTTAGCTTTGGCAAAAATGACTCGTACACAGCAGCTTAGATTGGATCTTGCAACACTATGTCTCTGAACTTTTAAAACTTTATACCTTGTTAATTTAATGTGTCTCTGCATGCCACTTTCATGCTCTTAATGGTGTGCTGAACTTTGCTTTTCAGGTTAAACGGACATTGGGACAATTCACCCCAGCTCAGTGGGACAAAGACGAGTGGCACCCCCTGCTTGGTCCATGGCGTTTCATTCAAGTCCTTAGTCTTTGTGTAGTCTTCTTGACGGTGGAGCTGAACACATTCTTTCTCAAGTTTTGTCTGTGGGTTCCTCCTAGGAACCCGGTCATAGTGTATAGGTTGATCCTATGGTGGCTCATTGCAATCCCCACAATCCGTGAATACAATTCATATCTCCAGGACAGGTCTCTCTCTCTCTCTCTCACACACACACACACACGCGCGCGCGCGCGCGCACGCACACGCATGCATGCACACAAATGGGACATTCTCTGGCAATGTTTAGAATTGCAGTTCAAACTATTAGTAGTTCATTAACATGATTGTTTTTTAAATATTCAGGAAAAAAGTGAAAAAGGTTGGGGCTCTAGTTTGGCTTTCGCTTGCAATATGTATTGTGGAACTTCTCATATGCATCAAGTTTGGACATGGTAAATTCTCTTGATGGCTAACTCATTGGCGTTGATGGTAGTTGAAATTTTCGTCAGTAATGACTTGGTTCTGCTGAATTTTGCAAGGTTTGTATCCAAACCCGATGCCTCGGTGGTTGGTAGTCTTCTGGTCTTCGGTTGGTTCGGGCATCGTAGCATTTCTGATTGTTTGGTCGTGGCAGCTACATAGAAGCATGCTAAGAAAGAGGCTTTGACTTAGGATATATCAGGCATTGATTCTTTGATTTCTTTTTCTTCCTTGTACTGATGTACATACTTTTAACATCTTGAAGAATTGTAAATGCTTGTTTTGCTAGGTCAGGGAGAATCGGAGTCCTTCTAGAGAGTAGTGAGTTTGCGTTGTTCTCGTTAAAGGGGCGATGTTTCTTTTTCTTTTAGCTGTTACGGTCGGAGAGTTGCTTCCATGTTTTTGCGACATTCGCAGTACTGTTGGTTTGATAATTCTATGCAGCTTAGCCATTTAGAATGTGCGTCAGACGTCTTATCTTGCACCATCTTTTGGATGGTCATCAACTGAAGCAAAACCTCTCAGTAGGCTTCAGTGCGTATAAGAGCTCTTCCATTGAAGGTGTTCATTGGATTGCGTTGACCAATGACATTGTTGTTGACTATGTCAATATGGAAGAAGAAAGTGGTACGAGTTATGATCTTTTTCCAATTAAATGAATGCCAAAAATTGCTAGGCGATTGTCAAGAAGATGGCTTATCAGAACTTTAGAAGGAAAATTATCCAAAAAGTCCTAAAAACAGTTTATTTATCGATTTAGATGCGAAGGTGACCGAACTTACATCCCATCACGAAAAGTTACCATAAAAATGGGAAATTATTTGCACATTGGGTTGCAAAACTTTGCAAAGTGTAAAGGAAAGTTCCGATCAATTATCTACTTGCTGAACAATAACGCAAAAGAAATTTACTATCAACTTGGCTTGATCTTTACTTTTGGGGAAAATTACAAATCACAGTACCAAGAGAACTTACGACCACCAAAGAGAAATTACACCCTCTAAATAAAAGTTACGAAATCATATTTCACCGATAAATTACTATAGTGAAGACAATCACGTTCACTAAAGGAAAGTAAGACTCATAGGTAATTTACAAACAATAAGAAAAGAAATTTATTATTGACTTAGGCAAATTACTATATTTTTGTGGAATATTACGAACCACAGGACCTATACAACTTACGCCGACAAAATGGAAATTACGTCTCGTAAACACAAGGTAGATAATGATATGTAACAAGCAAATTACCACTAGTGAGGAAAATAATGAATGCCAGAAATAAGTTAAGATTAATTAAGTGGTATCCGGTATCGTCCACGGGACTCTAATTAATTGTGAAAACAATACATAGAGAAATAGCCTAAGATCAAATAGGCTGTGTACTATGGAGTTTTGTCCTATGAAAAACAGAGTTATCATCAAAGAGTATTTTCATCATTATCTCCATTTTATGGTAATAACATTAGCCAACAAAGGTAACAATGTGGACGTTGAATTAATATGTATGCTCAAGAGAAAAATGTTGTCGAATAATAAGAGTATGTCCCGGTAATCAGGAGTCTGCCTTGGATCCTTGATGATGGTTATCAATGGTACCTCACAAAAGTAAGAGAAGCATATGCTTTCGACTAGGGCCTCGTCTATTCAGGTGCATTTACCTGGCGAGTTGACAGGACTTTGTTCCTCATTTTAACACGGGCACACCTAGTCCCCAATTGAAAAAAAAAGGTTTTCTTCCTTCTCTCGAGAGAATATCGCGTGTTAAATTGACTTAAAAGATAAGAAAGGAAGGAAAACAAACAAAAGAAGAGAGAGAGCCAAAAACTAACCCCCACATCAGAGTTGCGTCCGATTTTTTTTCTACTAACAATCGAACTTCGATTACGATCGTAGGATTTTGTCCAAACCTCTTTCTCAGCCAATCGTTCCAACACGCAGCCTTCAGATTTTTTCTTTTCTTCTTCTTCTCTTTCTTCTTCTTCGTCGTGCAAGAGAGAGAGAGAGAGAGAGAGAGAGAGAAAGAGAGCTGCAATTCCTGCTCTGAAATCAGAATTCGGGGAAGATGGGGAGCACGAGCGCTGCTCTCTTCCCTCATATGCACCTCAGCAACCACTACTTCAGCCCTCTTGCTTCCACGAGAAGAAGCGGCGGCGTGAGGCCGCTTTGCTTCGGTGGCTCTAGAAGAACGAGGTTGAGATTGGACTTGAGCAGCTTGAGGGGTCGCAAAGGTATCGGTGAAGCCGTTTGCTTTGCCTTTGAGGAGGGTGATGGTGGGAATAAGCAGCCCGAGTTGGGCACGAGCGGCAGCGTTGGCTCGGCCGTGGAAGATAGACCCGGTAAAAGTGCTGAATTCGGTTGCTTTGTTTGTTTTTTTACTTGGTCCCTGTTGATGTGTTTGCAACTTGGTGAATTGGGCTCTTTTTTCGGGCCGTTGAAGGATTGGATGTTCTTGGATAGGAGGAGGTAGTGAATTGGGGAATCGGTATTGGATTTGTGGGTTCTTGTTGATGAGTATTAATTGGGAAGTGTCCTGATTGGGCATAGAGTTATCTAGTTCCAAAGTGTGATTTTCGTATGTACAAGAAGTTGAGTGAAGGAAATGGTGGATTTGGGTTGATGTCTGCAAATGCAATTTTCATGTCACTTGGAACTTTGGCGCTTCTATGTCTGATGATCTAGTTCTTGCTTTTCCCGTAATTACACAATCTCTTCCAGGTTAAGATTATTCAAGCTTAAGTACCTCTTGTAATTATTGGGGACTCAAATAGTTTTTAGTATCAACCCAGAGGGTGATCAGATTTGATTTCTGTGATATATGTTTGGTCAAATGGTGTTGTCGTATGGGGCACCGGCTCTGGAGGTTGTTCCTGAAACACTTATTTATGTGCTACGTTTTTGGTGAAATTGCGTTGTCCTATAGGGCACCAGCACGAGAGGTTCTTCTTATGTATTACCTGACACTAAAACACATTGCATTCTTTGTATCCTGAGTGCTTCCCACTTTGCTGGCAATCACTCTGTTATCTTAGTGTCTGTTTGTGGTTGCCATGTCTTTTCATTCCTTTGTGATGTGTATATGCAACATAGATGAGTATGTTTGATTTGAAGTGATTTTAGCTTTTAGCTGTGTCAAACACATCTTTCCTTTTTATTTTTTCTTTCTGTTGCATAAATTCACCTCTGTTCAATCAAACCTAACACTGGAAAAAGAATTACGCTGTTGCAGCCATGCAGCTACCAATTTACACTTTCCATCTGCATTGTCTGTCGCTGAAAACACATCTCTCCTTAGTTACAGCTTGTATATGCAGGCTAAATCTTTACTATTTTTCTGCTATTCAAATATTCAATTGCCGTTTATTTGTTATCGAAGCCATACGTTTGAGACATGGAAATAATGCACTTGCCTAAGTTACATCTGCAGTAAAATTGTAAGCTAACATCGCGTTAGTGGATGATGCAGGTGAGGTAGATACCTTGAGGCAAGAGACCATTGAGACCTTCAACCAAGATGATGGAAGAAGTCCCCTTTATGATCTTCTGTATCCTGATAAAGAGCTCCTCCCAGATGACAAGGAAATGAGTATATTTGATCATCTTGAAGAGCTGAGACAACGAATGTTTGTGTCTGTTATGGCAGTTGGTGCTGCTATTTTGGGATGCTTTGCTTTCTCAAAAGAGTTAGTAGTGATTCTGGAAGCTCCCGTTAAAACACAAGGCGTTAGATTTTTGCAACTGGCTCCTGGCGAATTCTTCTTTACAACTTTGAAGGTCTCTCTTTCTCTCTCTCACACATGTGCGCGCACACACATACATGGGTGAGCCATTATCCATGTATCTTTTGTACAAGTCAAGTGATTCCATCACTAATGTGGATTTCATGGATCCATCATGACTAGAATATCAGAATTTATAGCTTCAGACATAGTCGTACTAGTTCATTGGTAAGCAGATTGTTTTTGTTAGGTCTGTTTGCACAACGACATTATTTATTACGTGAACCTGCCAATGGGGTGGACTCCTGTTGCTTCATTGTCTAACTCAACAGATTGTGGGACCTGAGTTGGCAGCTTCTAACAAAACAATATATGCCTGAGCTCTTTCATATTATCAAGTTGCATAAATGGTAGAAGAGTCGATATTTAGCATGTATGGCTTATTTGTTTGATTGTGTGATGCAATTCGCATTTTTTTATGCCTTGATCAAACCATGGTTGGGTGATCTGTATATGATGAATGGCGTGCTGTTACAATTTAAGTATTTTATTTCATACTGCAGGTTTCTGGATACTGCGGTCTTCTCCTAGGAAGCCCTGTTATTCTCTATGAGATCATAGCGTTTGTTCTTCCAGGTCTAACGAGATCAGAAAGAAGGTTCCTTGGGCCTATTGTTTTAGGGTCTTCCGTACTTTTCTATGCGGGCATTGTGTTCTCCTACCTAATTCTCACTCCAGCAGCCTTGAATTTCTTTGTGAGTTATGCGGAAGGGGCCGTCGAGTCACTGTGGTCCATTGATCAATACTTTGAGTTTGTGCTAGTGCTCATGTTCAGCACTGGACTATCTTTTCAGGTAAAATTTTAGTTTGCAAGTTCATACATGATATGATTTGGTTGCTTTCTTTTGTCTCTCTAAAATTTGTTTCATGGGGACTTTTACACGTCTGAGTGTTGAGTTAACCATGGAGATTTCTAATGATCTTTTGAGAAATTTTTTCAAAATTTGATGAAACAAAACTGCTGCTTTAAGGATGGAGATAATGGATGGGGGATCACAATGTGGACATAGTTTGCAAATTGGAAACAAGGGATGAAATGATAATTAGGGTTTAACAGTTGATGTTTTTGGATGGGAAAGATGGATTAGGAAGGAGTTGTTACTGCCCAATGAATTGATAATTAGGATTTGTGATGTTTATGCATGGACTTCCTCCAATGTTGGAGAGAATGAAATACTGGACGAATGAAAATATCATCCCATGCTTCTAGCAATAGGTCTTCTGTTTTTTTGGAAAAGTTCTACTTTTATATCCCTGAATTTTCACGCTTTGTCTAATCAAGTCTTACTTTAACATTTTTTCTAGTCAAGTCCATCTAATACTAAATCCGATCAAATTTAGTTGACATGATTGTTGAACGATGCCAAAATATGGTACACTTAAAACATGCGGATGCTCACATGAACGTGTAGAAAAATTTAGCTAATGTAGACAAAGTCAGAGTATGATGCGTATAAAATTTAGCCATGTGGACGCCCACGTGGACATCACATTGGAAAAGTTTTATCCACAACAGAGGGCTACAGCAGTTTGATTTAGCCGGATAATGTCGAAGGGAATTGATTAGAAAGTTTGTAAAAGTAACACGACTATATTAGACAAATTATAAGTCTAGAGACTTGATCAGAAAGAGCGTGAATTATCATCAATGAAAAGTAGAATTTTTCCTTGTTTTTTGGCCAAGGGTTTCTAGCAATAATTTTGTTCAACGTGATTGATATAAGAAATTATTAGAAAACAGCTCTACTTGAGTTTCATCCTTCATTGTTCTCCATCTCCCTGTTCAATTGATAAGATTAGTCAATAATTGTGGTATTGTGTGCTAGAGAATGCAAATTTAGACATCAACCCTAACCTCTACCAGTGTACGTGGATTCCTTGAAAGCTGAATAGTAAAGCAAAATTGATACTAGAAATAGTTCGTGGAGTCTTTCCTGTCAATGACGAGGTATTTATCATGAAAGGCACGTATGACTTCATTTGACTAAAGAGCGAAATTTGTGGTTCCAGTTCTACTTTACTCGAGTCTTTTCTACAACTTTGTTCAACTCCTGATAATTTTACTTGTCCTTCAGGTTCCAGTAATACAGCTCCTTCTAGGACAAGTCGGTCTAGTAACCGGAGACCAAATGCTGTCCATTTGGAGATATGTAGTTGTAGGTGCAGTCGTAGCTGCTGCTGTATTAACACCATCAACAGATCCTCTTACTCAAATGCTGCTGGCAGGACCTCTTCTCGGACTCTACTTGGGCGGCGCATGGGCAGTTAAGCTCACAGGGCGGTGAACTTTATGTGCTCACAACTTTACTGGTGTGTACGATCAGAGAGTGCATGGCATCTGCGACTACCCCAAAGGATGTACTTGAAAATAGCTGGTAGTGAAGCATTTATGTACAAATTTACTGATCGGTCTTCGTGTTCGAGGGTTTTGTATTCTTTTACACTAGTGATAGTGGGATACTGTTCCTCGTTTATAGAGGAGCATTTTTAATACATTTGCTCTTCAGTCTCTTTACTCCTGTTAAAAGGCTTCCATCGCTTATCACCAAGAATTTGTTGCTAACGTAAACACCAAAGCTTCTATGCAGTCTGCCACGCTTCGTCCTTGAACACGTCTTCAATTTTTCGATCAGTAAGATTTCTCAAACATTTTGCACAACCAGTTGAGCTGTTGTTGGTGTAAGTTTGTCTTCACCCATTTGTAATTTGCGCAGGACATCGACTAACTCATTGAAGGCCATCTGAACTTCTTAGCGTGTTGACTTTTCTATAAATAGGTTTCTTACTGTGGATGCAAAGAAAGGGTCTGAGGAGCAAATTGAGATCATTGGTGCATGACCTTTATCCTTCCATCTCCATTTATTTGTGAAAGCATCGAATGATGCCTCCGAGGGCCTTTGGGTCTCTAAAGGACCTTGGACAAAAGTCAAGCCGTTTCACAAATTTTTTTGGAAAGCTTAGGGAAATGCTTTTCATTTCCAAGACAGGTCTGTAGAAACTTTGGGCTTTAGATGTTAATGTATTTTTTTCTTTCAACTTTGGCCTCTCTAAACTTTTGAAATTGCGGAAATGCCCTCTTCACACGACTGTCGCCTGCGACGTCAAATTTGACCACCAGCGAAAGCGTGAGATTTTTTTTCTGTTTTTTTTTTAAACAAATTTTTTACGAGTGTAGATTTTTCCATACAGCGTTTAAACCAATTTTACTTATACTTTACCGAGCACTATTTGCATTTTGAAAAAGCCCTTTAACCTAACGTCCTTTGCATTTTCCTAAAGTAGCCTTAGCAAAGGCAGCAATATTGTACTTTACAGTTGACCACTTTCACGGAAAGGAGCAAACTTCTGTTATTGATGCAAATGCAATGCTGTCAATAGAAAATGCTTTGTTCTTAGCCTAAAAGAAGCAGAGCATAAAAGAAAAGAAAGTAAAAAGGAAACTGGTTGTGCTGACACGGAGGAGAGAATACAGAGGTTGCTTATTACTTTGAAAGTATCTTCACATCGTGCGGTGGTCTAAATGGTACGTTCTCATTCAATGCAAAGCAGTCATCACTTTCTATCGGCAAAACTTCAGCCACTAACTTACGGGAAAGAATTGATTTGAGCATGAGTTTCTTCCTAAGAACTCTTTGCTTGCTCACTCCAGGGCATTGTTAGTCTGAGATCTTCCATGAAATATTCTGTTCCTTGCCCGGTCTGCCTGCAGTATCAGGAAATGGAGAAACAAGAAACACAGTGGTTGTTAATATCTCAATAAAAAACTGTCTGACGAAATCACGCACATCTAGTTCCGGCCTATTTGAATCGTTAAGAAGACTCATGGCTGGAAGCTGAGAATCTTGGTTTAACTTAAGAGTTGAAACGATGATTTCAAGATGATGAATCCTCTTCAATCCTCATTGATTCCTAGTAATCGATAACAGAGCAGCATTGCTGCATTGGAATGCGTATTCCTTTTGGTTTCTTTTCACAAGATTTGCGCTAGGAGCAAGCAAGTACCTGCTTGTCCCAGTCCGTGCAGGTCGTGACAATAATTAGCAGAACCGTCTGAATAAAAGAACCGATCTGAATTCCGATCCAAAGCCCCTTTCCTCTCAAGTGTGCATAGAAACTCAACATTGCAGCAATAGGAATCCCACAAAGGTAATATGCCCCAAGGTTGATGTACGCTCCAATGTCCTGCCAACCACATCCTCTGGCCACACCTGGGACAGAACCAGAAAAGAAAAAAGAAGAAATCAATTGGGGTTTCCAAATTCTCAGGAATAAGATTGCCGCTAACTCTTATTTGATCCCATGTTCTGAGGAACGAACCTGAAAGGACCCCTTGTAAGTTGTCTAGTATGACAGACAGGCACAGAAGAGGAGCCATGGATTCGACATAATGGACCACCTCTTCCTCGTCGCTGAATATGTAGCCAAATGAGCGGCGGGCGGTGAACAGGATTGTGCTTACCACAGCAACCTCCAACACCGTAATGAGCATGGCAACGTTCACGGTGCGGCGACCCGCCAGTGGATTCCCTGCGCCTAGTTCATTTGAAACCCGTGTGCTACAATCAAATACTTGTGTTTTTTAGCAGAAAAAATCGAAGAAAATTGGATGATAACGATGAGGCATATGTTCATATATGGGTAACATGTACGTGCGAGTTTCTGGGTGCATACCTTACTGCTGCCCCAAGTCCATCTGGGATCGTAAAGAGTGTTGACATCACTGCCAAGCTGCCGAGGATTGAGAAATTGAAAATCAATCAGCTCTACAATTTTTTTTCCCTTTGGAAGAAAGGTGTTAAAAGTTTTGAGCATGCAGGCAAAACCAGAAAGAATTCGCATGCGAAAGCCTAAAGTCATACCACACAGATAGGACTGAAGTTTCGAGCTTCGGGTTGGGGAGAAGCCCAGAGAGCATTATCAGAAACTCGAACGACCACCACTCAAGGCTGAAATCATTAGGACGATAATGCATCATTTGGTATAACGTCTCGGAGACTCACAATTTAACAGGAAAACTTAAAGCTAAGACAAGCAAGAGAGTACCCACCAAATCATGACAGCAGAAGGGACAGCGAAGCTGAAGAACTCTCTCATCCCTCGGAACAGCTCCATGGAGATCCTCACACGGGTCTTCATCTTCGCGGAATGGGGGGAAAACTTCATGTACAATGCAAGCAGAATCGCATTCAACCAATAGGACAGGCCTATGGCCATCGCTGCCCCAAGATTACGGAAGCTAGAGTTGAACACCAGAGTCCAGCAGAGCGCTATGTGGAAAACTAGCGTCACGAGAGAGCTCACGAGCAGAGGGAAAACAAGGCTCTGGGTCTGAAAGTACCGGACCAGAGGTTGGAGAGTTCCGTAACCAAAGAGCGCGGGAATGAGGCAGGTGGCGAATTTACCGGCCTCGAGGGAGATCTCGAGGTGTTGACCCATGAGAACCAGTAGCTTTCCCATGAAGATTCACACTAGCGATAAGGGGACACAGACTAAGACAAGACAGAAAATACCGGTGTGGATATGGATGCTGAACTTTTGGTATTGCTCAGCTCCATATGCTTGTCCACAAAAGAGTTTCGAGGGCGCTCGACATTCCAAACTGCATCGACAATCAACACGCGACATGGCTCAGCCAGTCACAGCAGAAATAAAAGCATCAAAGGCATATAAGCATACAAAGTTGGTGAACGAAAACGATGGATCCTGTTCTGTAAGCGCGACCACAAGTGTGCATATTGATTTCAGATATGTACAGTGTGGGTGTGTGTGAGATAGAGAGAGAGAGAGGTGTACGAGGGGACTGAAGCCGGTGACGACGCAGAAGGAGATGGCGATGGCGGTGCTGGCGAGAGAGAGCTCGCCGAGGTGCCCCACCATCATCACCGATACGATCAGCAGGAAGTACTGCGACAGGTTGACTGCTACCATCGGCCCTGCTATGTACCCCATCCTCTTCGTCTCCTCCTTCAATGTCTTCCACCCCGAGCTCGAGCCGGAAACGTCATCGCCGCCGCCTCCTCGGTCTCCACCGCTGCTCACTAACAAACTCTCGCTCTCCTCCATATGCCAATGTGTCGCGTGCCTCTCCCCTTCTCTCTCTCTCTCTCTCTCTCTCTCTCGCTGTCTATGTTCTATATCTCAAGCGCTCAGCTAGAGACATTCATGTTTCAACAGCTCCCATGATTTTCTTTTGGCCAAAGTAGAGCTTTGCATGATGGGGTCTTGACTTAACCTGATGACACTATGAATGGTTTCATCGTGTCAGCGGCGCCCATAATATGACATCATGCCTACGTCATATATTAACGCAACTAGGCACATCGCAATTACGAGCTCTTGAACATTGTTTCATGATTTTCAAGGCTTGTTGTGCAAAGTTTTCTTTTTCACTATTAACGAGAAATTTCGGATTATGTAATTACTACACCACCACGCGTTCAAAATTTCGGCAAGTAAGGAATTCTTTTCAAAACTTGAAGACCAAGAGAATTAGAAACTTTGATAGTCTTAGATATATACGTGACTCTTATGGTTATTCTAAAAGAACATAGCTTGTTAGAAATAATTAGGATGATTCTCTAAGATATTTTTCCATATTAGAGATAATTAGGATATTCCCATGGCCGGAGTTGTTGCATAGTTTATAGCGCAAAGGCCACGTCGTTCAATAACAGTTTTGAAAACAAAGCCAGCCATATCGACCACTTATTATTATAAAGCTAGCCTCGTCGGTTACGTTCATTCTGTTACTGTTTTAGTCAACAAAGCCAGCCCATGGCTGCTTGACATCGACGAACCAAATCTAGTCCAAGCGTTTTCAGAATTTTTTTTACACTTGAGTTTGAGGGGATGTTAAAGATAATTAGGATAATTCTTTAGAATATTTTTTTTATAATAGAGATAATTAGGATATTTTTGTCAGTTTATTTCTCTCAAGATTGTGCGAAAATCTTCTCTTGATTGTGCATATCTTGATTAATATATGTTACTTTAAATAATCATTTCATAATAAATAATAAAATTAAAATTTGCAAAAGTCAAGATCAGGAAAATATTTTTTGAAAAATAATTGCTTGTATCGTTTACAAAAATAAATGAAAATATTTTTTGTAAACTTATTTTCTGGGTGATATGACAAATTATTTTTGGTAAATATTTTCAAACTCTAAAATTTTTCGTGAAATAAACGCACCCTTATTTAATATCCATTTACCAAAAAAGAAGCAAAAAAATCTCCCTAAAGCGATAGGAAGGCACTAGTGTCAAATCGTAGACATGGACAATTAACTTCGAAGAACGATGAGGATTCGATAGACATGTCGCGCGTGCAAATATTTTATCCACATTCAAACAAAATGTTTGCAGACTGCAGAAGAAATATATTAACGTTTGAAGGAAAAGACAAAGGAAGAGGGACAAAAACAAATCCTAATGAAATAGCAGCGAGGGGTGGTAGCAAACTAGCATACGACACCTGCTCGCCATCGGCATTGCC